TTGTGAAGCGGTATTTTTGTCACTGCAGCACACCTGTTGTGTTTCGTTGTGCGGTGACCTTAAAAAAAAATCTTCTGTCTTAAGTTTCTCTTTCTTATCTGCTTGTATTCAGAAAGCATTTAGAAACTGTGGTCTCAGTGGGAGAGTATTTGAGTACTGTATATTTACTGGATGACTTAGTGACTTTTCAACTGCCTTGTTGACTGCTATTCCTGCAAAGCTGTTCACTTCGTTAAAGCTATAAATAGTTCGAAAATTGGCACTATTTGAGCTTTTTACTGCATTCCCTATATTGTTTTCATTTATATACTTTTTCTTTTATTTTTGAAATTTTGCGGCGAAAAGCCGACTGGCTTCCGCATTTAAAAGTCGCTACTGAAGCTTTGAAACGAGTAGACAAGAAAAAAGTTCTCTTACATTCACATCCAAATTTTCTGGGAAGAAAATTAACTAACACTTGTGTTTTTGGTAAACGATACGACTGTCATCAGTCTTTTATTTCTTCATCAAAACTTCAATTCTGTCAAGTACGATTAGAATACTTTTTGGAAACTCGTGGCTGAGATTATGGTTTCTTTCAGAAATACCACATATGTTTATGCGACTGAATATGCTCCACCTTACTATCAGGCAAGTTCCTAGAAGCGTATTTTTTACTTTATTAATATTGTCAGCTGCAGTTTGTTGGAAAAATGATCTACACAAGAAGTATAACTCTGAACTATTGGTTGAATTTTACATCTGGTTGTTGTCTCTATTATTGGGAAAATTTTGTAAAATTAAAACAACCATAAAACGTCATATTTCTTGATGCATTTTGGTTTTTTATAGTAAGAAATTGGGATTCTCAAATATATTAACTTTTTCAACAAGATCTTGTTCTAAAATGTGTTGCTATTATCCTGTTTCTCACTCAAATTTCTTGTCTTTATAATAACACTTCTGATATTTTTATTATACAAATGTCCTTTTCTTGGGTAGATTGATTTTTGATGGTTACTTTTGAATTCCAGTACCAACCACTAAATTCTCCGGGACAGCAGACTTATATTATTCAGCAACAAAATTCGCCTGGATCAGTTGAAGAAGACACTAATGCACAACTTGGTCACACGACTAGAGCTTCACCGGCTACTGTAAGTCTTAAAATTTGACCTCATTTGTTGGAATGTTTATTGGTACTTTGACTTATATACTGATATATGCTCCATTACCGTTATACATGTTTTTTGTTTCTGATTGTTTTACCAGAGCTTATCTATAATTATTACTGTTTTCAATTAAAAATTTAATCAATATTGTTAAAGAGTCAGGAAATCTATTTAGAAGCGGTAGCAAAGCCGTACAGCCGTTTTTCCTCCCATTAAATAACCACTTATCGAAGCAAAGTTTTTTGTGGCTTTTTGGGCCAAGTAAACCTAGTTGATTTTAGCTAGAATGTCAGATTTTAAAGGAATAGGCGAAATAAAATTGCGCCGAGCGTTAAGCGGGTACGTAATGCCAAACCTTTTGAATTGAGTAATTACCTGGCTTTATTGGATTTAATCAATAAGGTTTTATTCTTAAGAACTGAGCCAACATGGCCAATTTTAAACAGCCAAAACAGATTCATTTATACCGTAGTACATGCTATGTATCGGTTTTTTTTTGCTCTGCTACAGACGAATGTCGTCCATCTGTTCTTTCACGATCATGCTTGTCAGAAATGTTTTTCTAAACCTTGAAAAACATTCAGTTAAATCTTCTGATTTTAATATTCGAATTTGATTTTCTTATGTCTCTTTACTCTTCTGCTGCTCCATTGCAGCTTTAATATTACTTCGTTGATGGAAATAAACCACTTTTTTAAATTGAATCAAAAGAAAAGATTTTTTGAAGCATTTAATAGCAGGTGCATAATCAATGAATAAAGAGGGAAGAAAATGATCATACATGCCTGCATTAATTAAGTGCTTTTATTTGAAAATTATAATTTTTGACTGTTACACATGTATGAATATAAATATAAATATAGATATCAATATAAGTATAAGTGTAAATATGACTTTAGATCGACTTCAGATTGACTTATTAAAAGCTTTTTTGGTTTGTAAATTTGCTTACGGCGAGGTGGGGAACAACTTTTTTTTACAGAACTTTGAAGTTATTTCCTCATTTTTTTTCTTTGAAACAAAAGTGGGAAGGTTGATAAACACTTTGTAGAAAAAAATTTCTTTGAGATGAATTTATATTGAAATTTTCGTAAGTTCAGCATTAGTTCAGCATCAATCAGTCGACTTTTACAGCTTAACAAATACTTACTATTTAGATTCAATGGCTAATAAACAACTACGAGCCAGCAGATGGGACGTCACTTCCGCGCTGCACGCTTTACGAGCATTACCAGAGGTTTTTATTTTACTAGTGCTGATATTTTAAGAGATTTATTACACATTTGAAGTGTATTCACGCAATATGAATGGGATTTGTACTTTGAGAATAATGCATTCTATGTTTTTGCATCTTCTTTCTTTCGAACACCAAAATAATACTTTTAATGCTTTTCAATTTACAGGCATTGCCGGGAAAATGGTTTAGATCAAGTAAACCCAGCATCTTTTGGGAAATTGATACGTTCCGTATTTCATGGACTGCGTACACGTCGACTTGGAACAAGAGGAAATTCAAAGTATCATTATTATGGCATACGAATCAAACCAGATTCTCCTCTAAATAATGGCTTAACTGCATCTATTTCATTAAATGATGATTATGGACGGCAGTCATTTTCGCACCCAATAGGCCATGTTTCCACAAGAAATGGGTAAAACTTGTTAAAATCAAAGCTTTATTATGTTTTTTTACTTAGCTCTTCTGCTTGTTTGCTGTTTCTTTATAAGCTTACTTAATCGTAAATGTTGAGAAGAATGGCACTAGTTTAAGGTCCTCTAGAAGGTCAGCTAATAACAATGGCGCGATGAATACAGGTCGTACTTCTACAACAAGTATTGTGGAATCTGGTGCACAGCAGTCGACCAACTCGTCGACGTTAGTTTCTTGCTCTCAGGCTTCAGAGATTTTATGACTTTTTCTAATTCGTCTTGAAACTATTTACTTTATAGAAGTCCTTCGCCAGTTTATGTCACAAATGGGCACGGCATGTGTAATTCAGCTTTTCAACCTTGCCATAATCAAAGCTCAAATTCTTCGAGCAATGGTGAAAACTGTGCAGGTAATGAATCTGGCTTTATTAGTTTTTGTAACCTAGTCAACTTGGCATTCTGTAGTTCTTGGGTTTTGCATATGCCTTTTGTTAGGATGCAACTTTTGCAACGGTATTGTTTCACATACAGTGAAATGCTATGCTCTAGAGGTCGATCGTGAGCTGCTAGGGGACGGTGAAGTGCCACGTATTCAGCCACCAGACTTGCAAGATCTGCAGCGCTATCTTCTCCCACTTGGTCTTACTATTCAACACGCAATGAAGTTTTTTGATGGTTATGCAGCAACTTGCGGGGTTAGTTCTGATTTTTTTTTTTTTTTGTTGAACATGCCAATCTTTGAAGTGAGCAGACAGTATTCGATTTTTTATGAGGGTTGGAATTCGTATTTCAAGCATTATTAGTTTTCCTTGTGATTTATTCTATTCTTTTTAATTTTTTCATTTTTTCAGGAAGTGCTTGAGTGTGTCAAACAGTTGCAGTTTGATGCGGTAGAAGAATGTTGGGCCACCTTTTGGCAGCCTGAAAATGAGCAAGAAGAATTGGAAGATGATGAGTGCTTGCGGAACGAGTAATCTTCTAGCTATCATATTTATGTCTGAAGTTTATACCGAGGAGGCAGATAATAAATTTTTGGACACAAATTATCATAATTTCTTTTGCTTTTAAATTGCACACTAGCTTTATTAATTTTATCTTTTCTAGGAAGATGTTGAAAAACTTAAGTCAAACGCAGCTGTTTACTATGTGCACTATTCCACCGATGTTCGCTTACATGCAAACGATGGATTATGCTTTTTATCAAGTGATCGCAGAAGTATTGATTCCTGACGTACTGCAAGCGAATATGTCTAGTATGTTTTTTTCGACCTTGTTCTGAAAAATTTGTTCTTTACATCTTTCTCTTTTCAGGTGCGCTCACCACACAGATTCGAAATTTTGCTAAATCACTCGAAAATCAAATGAAGAAAGCGATGCAGGGCGCACCGGACTATATACAGAAGAGGAAGTTAAAAACTGTTCGTTTGCTAGCGCAGCTTCTACGTCGGTACACTTCTTTAAATCATCTTGCAACTGCGGCAAGAGGCGTTTTACAGAAACCAGATCAGATCCAGCAGATGTATCAAGATTTTAGTCGTGTTGACATAAGTAACATTCAGGATCAGGCTGGGTTAGTTGTATTATTGTGAATAGTTAGAGTCATTGTGGCATTATTACTTTTCAATTTAGGAATACTTTAAAATTATTTGAATGTTATATTTTTAGCTGGATTTGCGATTGTGATCCTATCCTTGTCGCAAACCTCTACTCTGATTTTTCTGAAAATTTACAACAACAGAAAACCCTTGAACAGTGGGCAGATTGGCTAGAAGCGGTTGTGGACCAGGTACTTTCCCTTTTTTCTTTCATGACTTTTTGATTATTTGCTCGAAATGTAATCAGGATATTAATGGCTTTTTTTCAAAAAAGGACTGTAATTGCCAATTTCAAGTTAGTAAATTTGCGTAATGCTATATATAGTATTTTATTAGTAGAAATTTATTTAGTAGAAAATGAGAATAAGTAAGAAATTTGAAAGATTTATTAGTAGCGATTAAGGAATTATGCTAAATCAGCTTTTCAGGAGCTTTGTCAGATTAAGCGGTAGCTGTTTTGAGAACTACCATTTCTAGGAAAAACTGCAAAATTTATTTTTGAGGGGTGCAGTCGTGAGTATATTTTGAATGTTTAAAGGATGAAGAAGGTTTAGGGAAGCGTTTACGGGTCTGAAATTAGTGTTTTGTTTAGCATTTTATTGTCTCTTTACATCTGAGTTAGAGGCAAGACGTTCGCGAAATGGTTTGAGTGCTTGAAGGATTCTGCTGTAGAATTAAACATGTATATAAATTTGAAAATGCAGAGCGTTGAAAGGTCAAGGGTTATGATTTAATTTGTTGCTTTAGATCTAATTTTTTATTTTATGAAAGCTTTTCACAGAAACTTTGCTAGAACGGAACTTTTACGGTTTTTGTTTTCTTGTAAAGACTGCAAATAATTTAATTTATAAGAAGTCTGTTTTGTTTATCCTATCTCAAGCATTTATGCGGTATTTCAAAAATTTATCAATAAATAAATATGGTTTGCATAATAAGTAAATGAATGGATCTTGGGAGGTATTGTGGACGAGTCGGTGCTAGTTATTTTCAAAAAACTTCAGCTACTGAGAGGGGAGAGGGTGCAGTACAATGGAAGATTCAAGCCTTTAGTCAGTGGATGAGTTGCGTTTGAGTTCTTGCATGAGAACCGATTGGGTAAGGTCGTAAAAAGACAAAATGAGCTGAAGCCTCTAGCTTTGATTGGGCAATAAGAGTTGCAGCAACATTTGAACGTTCCTGCTCTAGATGTGAGTAGGACAAGTTGAACTTGGGGGAAATCTAGAGAGAATTGTTTTCGATTGGGTAAGGTCGTAAATTCATCGTAACCTTTCCAAAAATTTTTTTTCGTACGAAGTCGGTTGGAAAATCCGATTTTTGCTTGGTTAAAATAATTGAATATACATTTTTTGGGCAGTTGTGCTGTAGTTGAAATGGTAGGTAGTAACAAGCTTTGGGACAACTTGTCAGTCTTGTATTGCTTAGGAATTTTGTCACTAAAGACTTCTATCACTACCAATTTTGTGACAGGAAAGTACTGGATTTTTGATGTAGCATTTTCTCATTTTTAGTATTTTTCTTCTCGTATTCATCTAACCATTTAAGGTTCTTGCGAAGTACCACAGCGAGTCATATATGGTACTATGCGAACTGGCAAAAAATTTTTTGAAGAATTGGTCATTTTATAGGTAATTTTTTGTCTTTATTGTCATTACTTTTCAACATTAAATGGTGCTTCTGGCGGAAATTTCTATTCATGCGTTTCTAGCAATATGGTGGTTCGGGACCTCACTCTACGTTCTGCGCAGTCTTTTGGCTCATTCCACTTAATTCGGCTTCTTTTTGACGAATTCTTATTATACATAGTGGAAGCAAAGCTTGCTAAAGTTTCTAATAAACCAGTGATATCAGTTATGACAGTTGAGGTTGGTTATTTAAAGAGTTTTAGGTAGAAAGATTATTAGTTTTAGTGAATAAATTTAGAGAAATAATCTTAAATTTTGTTTTCTACTTAGTTTTTGCTGAGAAATCATGTGCAGTTTGTTAACAAGAGATACTTTAGGTGAGCCCTACAGCAAAAACTTGCAGAGTTTAGTAAAACACTTGATTTTCGTCTTTTGTTGCAGTAGAAGACTTTAGTTTGTTTTAGAAGTCAGATGAAATGATCTCTCAACATTCAATGGGAGCTGTAGTTGCTGTCCCAGTGTCCAACAATAATATTCCACCGATGCAGAGTAATATTGTGAGTGGTAGTGGTGAAGGTCCTGATGAAAATAGCATTTTTATGGAGGAAGAAGCAATTCACTACGTGGATGTTCCCCCAACCGGTCGTTTGACTGAATAGTTCTTAGGATTAGGTGTTTTGCTAAAAAATGTTTTCTTGTCTGAAGCTTTCTGAACGGGATGTGAGAAGTTTGAAGGTGCGGTTTTTTTGATACTAACAGTGGAAGGAGCGACTTCTCAGTGTAGGTCTGATGCAAGATTCAGTCTTATGCCTAAAACCAAGTTATTAGATGAGGCTTTTAGTTGGGGAAATATAATGTCTTCAATAAGCGACAAAGCTTTGGTAACTGGGTTTTAATGAATGTTTTTTTATCTGATATCAGTTGTGGTTAAAACTGGTCAGAAGAGCGAAGCGCTTTGGTTTTATTTTTAATTAGTTTTTATGAATCTTGTAATACATACTTCTAGGAGGAGTTCTGATAATGAATTTCTCAATTTACTGTATACTCTGGCATATCCCAATATTCAATGTAATGAGTACTTTTTAATTTATTAGTCAATGTCTGTTTGTGATGTAAAGTAGAAACGTTTGAGCTTTTTATACTCTTCTTTTCCAAATTTTAAAGTTCTTAACTTGTTGTATCTTCTATTTCTAGCTGCGTGAGGAGAATAAGAGCAATCTTATATATTCCATTTTTTTCAGCTGAGCTTTTACCATTTTGTGAGAAATTTGCACTGTGTGGATGTATTTTTTACAAAATATATAAATATTTTTTTGCTACCAGTTGAAGTTGGATTTTATTTTTTCCTTATTTATTAAATTTGTTTTTTATCTGGATTTTAATTATTGAAAGTTGCTTAATTCGGGAGCTGGTTTATTTGAGGAGGTTAAGGCTTGGTTTAATTGACAAAGTTCTTCTTTTAACGCTTGTCTTGTACATTTCTTATGTGTTTTCTGCTCCTTTATGATGGTATGTGTATTTCTGTTTTTCTCTCTTTGTCTTTTTGCTCTTCTTTAAGCATAAAATTGTCACTTGTCGTCTTTTGGTCTTGATTCTGATCTCAGGCCAAAAATACGTTACATGTAGGGTATGGCCGACGAATTTTTCACTGTAAACTTTCTTGTATTATCTTCTTAGAGTGGTCAATTAAAATTTTTTGTAATCATACAGTTCTGGACCCAAGCACAACTTATAAATGACCAAAAAAAAAGGCGGTGATGATGATTCAAAAAATATGACAAAGGATGTTTAAAAAATTTTTATAATGATGAAAAATGAGGCACATGTGTAGTGAAGCAGCAAAATGCTCGCATTTCTCATCATTATTTATTGTTTGGACAAATTGAGTAGATCTGCTGACGGGTGGCAGAATCACCGGCTTATTGCTTGGTTTAGAAAATACGTGGGCATAGTTATGAAGCGTAGTCAAAGGCTATTCTTCTTTGTTTTGTTTGTTTTCGTAATCTCGTATGTATTGTTCTGATTTATATAATTAACTGCTTATGATTTTTGGCGGTTATAGACGAAAATTCTGTTATGAAAATGTTTGATTCTGTTTTTGTTTTGAGGTGGGCTTCCTTTTTACGTTTTTGTCTTTGAGTGCTTTTTTACGCTTTTCTTATACTTCTTCACCGGCTAGACAGTTGTGTCGCCTTTTGGTAAAGGTGTCTAGATATTTATTATGGTAGTTTTAATTAATGGTGATTAAAAGAGCCAAGGGACTGTGTTGATAACAAAACACTGGTCCCGTGTGACTTCGTTAAAGTTTGTTGAAGCGGTGGTTGGCCACTATAATTAAGTGGGCAAACACACATTTGGAATTGCAGAAAACTGTTGACAGCGCTGTAAATAATGCTTGGTACTGAAGGGCAACATCGGCTTTTAGTCCTACACTTACTGCATTTTCGCAACTTAGTTTTCTGTTCATCTAAATAATGATCTTTGACAGTTAGGTGACGAAATAAGATTATAATTCGCAAGCACAGTAAAGTAGAATGATAAAGTAATAAACGGAAAAAGCGAGAGTTCAAAGAATAGGAGCTGATGAATATTTATTGTATAAAATGCGAAACCGTAACAGTGGCATGCTAGCTGATGGTCAAGGTATTATACTAACATAATAGTTGACAATTTATTAACTGCACTGATAGTTCCAGGCATATGTTTGATAGTTTGATATTTCATCAATGGAGCAAAAAAAAGGTTCAAATGTGCAGCAATTTTTCACTCCTTATAGATTGAATTTCCGAAGCAGCACTTTAAGATTATTATATCATGAAATGTTTTTTCAAATTCGTAAGTATACTAAGAGAAGTGCTAGTTAGTTTTGAAATCTTGTCAAATGACAAATCTTTGCAGTTGGTTTTGTGAAAACAGAGAAATTATTGAGAAATTGGTGTTTGCACTTTTTAATTTTGAAAAAGGAAAAAATGAGAATAACATATTTTTGTAGATTTTCAATAGTTGATTATAAAACTCTCAGTTATTTGGAGTTTAGCTAGTAAATGCTCGTAACTGTTGAGCAAAACGGCGGCGTAAAGCCTTTTTTATTTAGACCTTGTTGGAGATGAGTTGTATGCCTACTAGCGTTGTTATTATTTCTCATATTTTTTGGCTTGTAAACTGGCAGATTTAAGTCACTGTTGCAAATAACCACTTTGATTAGTTGTTTAGTAAGTATTATTTGTAAGTGACCAATAACATTTAGGAAACCGGTGGTTTGGGAAAATGACAAATATTTTCCAGTAAATTCCGGTGGTGGGATAACTCGTATGAGGATGGCAATTGCATTTCAATGCAAATTTATATATTAGCTTAACTACAGAGCTTTTTATTCCTTTGTTTCCTCTTCTTTTCCAACTCTTCCGCTTGTAGTCAAAGTATTCAAATAAGACGGAAGAGTAAGCAATAGGCTGGAACGGTTAGATTGTCTACAAAAGCATAAGCTTGAAAATTTCTTAATCGTCTCGGCAGCACGTATCGCCATTGTCATTTTGGAAGCCGTTTTTAATCTAATTGTTGTATGAATATTCTTTTATCTTATTACTCTAGCTACTGCAACCCTTGTCGTCAGATTATCTAGCTCAGGAAAGAAAAGAAAGACTGAAGTTGTGCAGTTGTTAACAAATATTACCATTACAATGATTGAAGATGGAAAGAATCACTGCAATAAAAAAATTTTTTTTCTCTTGCTAATAGTTCAGCAGTTCAAAGAGTGCAAAAAATTAGACAGTTTTGAGGAAGAACGTGGAGCGTGAAATATGTTGTTGAAAAGTTGTCGTCAAAAATTTTGGTTTTCATAAGAGCTTTGAACAACGTTGGCCAACACTCGTACAGATACAGTCGTCTGCTGCAATGAACAGAACATGGGCGTTTCTTTTAGTCAATTCTGCAACTTCAACAAATAAAGGAACATTTATATGCCCACAATATGTATCAAGTTTTTTTTTTTTTTCAGTATAACGAGAAGACATAATAATATCGAGCTGTGAATTTCCGGGACGAGTCATCAATGTAAATTGAAAAATTTAAATTAGTAGGCGTGACTTTAGCTGAAACGTTGTAGCAAAAATGCTGCAATATTCACTTCGTCTATTTTGATGATCACTTTCGACCTTTCTACATCCGCCTGAATGTGAAGTTATCAACAAATCTTCTGAATAAAGCAAAACAGTTGCCAAAAGTGTTACAGTAAAGATGTTTTATGAATGTTTTTGGCTATCAGTCATTCTATTGTTTTCACAGTTATTGTTAGCCAACTCGACGCCTATATATTCGTTTGGATTAGATGAAAAATCACAGAATATACCCACGGCTTCAGAAGCACTTTATTTTATTAAGGTAAGCAACTTCAAATTTAAGATTGTTGTAACTGTGTCCAACAATAACCAATTTATAAAGTTGCTTATTTGTTAAAATTTTTTTTTTGTTTTTTTGCTTTGACCCAACTTTTTGATAAAATGGCTTTTTTTTCGTTTTTTTTCGATGATATTTAGAAAACAACTTAGTAACTGCTTTAAATGTACAGTAGGTCTTAGAGAACCTTCACATACTCCTCATTTCTTGATACTTCTTTTCGACGTTTGATCTTTTTACATTATCTTTTTTTTTTTGTTTTCTTTTCCTAATTAATTTGTTTCTGGTGTAACCTATAATATCGGTTTTTGGTACAGTGAACAATGAAATTGTGTTATTACAAGAAATCAGCATTAACCGGAATGACTTTTTTTAAGCCGTTTTTGTCATCTAAACTTCTTTTGACCAAATATTTTATTATCCAACAAACTGTTAGTCTATCTATCACTTTTTGCATCCTTACCAAGAGTAAGCTTTATAAAACACACAGTTAACGACGACGTGCTAATAGTCTTTGTTGATGACGTCAAAAGGCGGTTTTCAAATGTAACAGAGAAACCTGTATGAAAAAGAACTTTTTTTGGATGGCGTACAATTGAAGCCAATGATTGATGAAAAACAACAAAAATGTGTTCCATCTGTGTTAAGGTTTCAGAAAAAACAAAAAAATTTTTTCAATCAATGCTTAAATTAAAAAGTGAAAATAATTGTTATGTATGATATATGCAAAAGACAAATTATCAATGATTTATAATTGTTTTCCAAAACAAAAGTCTCAAAAAGTCTTAAAAAAGAAATTCTTAATCAGTTTTTATGCAAAAAAGGAAAATTAAAAAGGAAGAAATTATTTGGAACAGTTTTTCAAAAATTTTTGTAACTAAATTAAGTAAACAAACAAACAGCAGAAAGAAATTTTTACGCATTTTATGGATGCTAATTATTAAGACTTTTTATTTTGCATTTGCAGTCACCATTTATTAATAAAGGCTTTCAGTGTTATCTTAAAAAAACAGAAAATTTTTATACAGTTAAAAAGAATTATTTGTTGTAAAAACAAAAAAAATTGGTTGCAGTAAAATTTTATCGTAATTTTTCAAAGTTTTTTTTTTTTTTT